ACTCAAAACAACGCTGTTTTGGGTTTGAATTAGGGATTTAAATTGATTTTCAATTTAGTCCTTTGACTTTCAATTACTTTCAATTGAACCCTTAATTGACCGTATACTTTTGATTTAATGCAATTAGACCCCTTTGTAACTTCAACTTTAGCCCCGTATTTATGCCCTTTTTACAATATAGTCCTTGGTCTCGGATTTATGCAATTGAACCCCCTAATTGACCATTAAACTTTCAATTCTCTTGCAATTTGGCCTCTAATTTCAATTAGTTAACTTGATAAAAATTAAACTTGATCTCTTAAAATTCTAATATTCTCAATTAAGCCTAAATTAAGCTCCTAAACTTAATTTTTCACCAATTAACCTCCAAATAAATTTAATTTCACCCATTGAAAGTATAATTAAGTCCTTGCACTTAATTAAATTCTTTAATTGGACCCAAATTAATTATTAAACATAATAAAAATTTAATTTGGCCAATGATTAAATCAAATTGGCTTATTAAAAATTTAATTATGTCTTTGGAATTAATTTTTATGTAAATTCGTTAAATAATTATTTAATTTGACATTAAATTTGCATTTTCTCTCTATTTTGGGCATAATGGGGTACAATTAGGCCTTTAATTTCCTCAAAAAATTACAGCTTGATTCCCTGGTTTTCTTTCTTCACATTGCCAACCTTTATTATTATTATTATTATTTTGGAAAAAAAATGATTTTTGGCAAATACCCAGATTTGAGTTATGACAATGGCATCCATCTCACTTCTGCTTCAAACATTTGCTTCACTCTAGCATTTGGTTTATACTAAAAGTGTCCCCCCTTTCCCCTAGTTTCTTGTGAATTGGAAAGAATATTAAGTTTCTGATGGAAATTATTTCTTTGGGACTACTTGAAAAAAGAAGAAGTAAAAAGCCCTCAGTTCCAAGTTTGTTGACACTGAGTAAATACTAAAAACCAAGAAAAAAAGAAAGAAAGTGAAAATGGCATCATAAGACTACAAGATGAACACCAGCACGAGCATTTTCTTGAAGTGATTTTCTAACAACATCATGTTGTGATTCATGCCAGGACTCATCTGGAGTAAAAACAACTCCATTCGCCACCTCCGAGATAAACAATAGACAAGGGACTGATAGCAAGTTGATCAAGCGATATTGCACTTTTTAGTATATGCGTTATCAACTCCATTTCGAATCAATTACCATTAAATCCATTCATCCGAACCTTCTTGAGTCTGCTATATGTGCATCCACAGATATTTCCCATCTCTCTTTAATTTTTACAGAATTCTTCACCGTCCATCTATAGACAACAGAAACAACTCACCATAAGATTCACAATATTGGACAAAATTGTGCTTCAACTGTTTTGGCAAAACAAAGTGTTGAATGTAAGCTAATAACAAATAGTTCAAATAAAGTGTTTCTCTAGAATGTTTTAGATTTGATATATTATATAGCAACTGACCACGAAATCAAGTTTCTTCAGAAGTGGACAAGCATTTAGATATGTCAATACCTACACAAATCCTCTTCCTCGCTTGCTTTGATATAAAATAGCTCTAGTTGCTTCAAATTTCTAAGCAAGTCTATGCTTTGTGGTAATCTTTTTTTCTAAATGAAAATAAAAGCATATTAGAAAACAAATTTCCATTGTCATCTTTGAAGGTTACTTACACTTCATGAATTCTAAATCTTTATGTAACTTCCAAGGGTCTATATGCAGAATTAGAGTCTATAAAGTTGGAAATGTTGCACAATGGGATAATGCGTTTGACATGTCTTTCATATGAATTGAATTTAAATTGAAGTAGATCTTTCTAGACAAGGATCAACAAATACAGTGATCTCCATGATGTCTCCACTATACTCAAAATCTATGAGATTTACGACCATCGCCTTAACTGGTGATGGGTTGTAGCACTTAAGCAACACTAGATTTTGGAGTGAAGTACTAAAAACTTTTAAAAGGGACATGTGTTTACAGCGTATCAACATTAGACCTTGAAAAAGCAAATAGTTGGAGAAGAAAAGTCCATGTTTTGTTTTATTCTTAGTAAGGAGAATTAATTATAGCTTATACAAATGATTTTTATATAATATAATTTTTTTATATTGTCACTACTAATTTAAAAAGAAAAGAAAAATTATCCAATAGTACCATATACATATATACATGTGCTTTATTTTAATATATATATATATATATATATATATTATTCTCTTACTCACCCTTTTAAGTAAAAGTTATTTAGACTTGAAACTTACAATAACTCATATTATTTTATACTTAATTTTTATCAAATAAATAGAGATAGTGATATTCAAACTCGTAACTACTTAATTATTATAGCTCTAATACCATGTCAAAAAACTAACTCAACCGAATAGTTTAAATTATTAGGTGAGATTTCAATATATGATTTATATTATTTTTTTAACAAATTTATTATCATTATTATTTTTATGATTATTTGACTATCAATGGAGCATCAGGGAAAACTAATGAAACCCTGGTTCCAGGTATCTCTACCTATAACATTCCTTGCAATGTTATCAAAAACGCTTTAAAATAGATAATTAATTAGGTAAGACAGACATAATACATAATCTAACAATTAATTAGGAGTATACTATGATTAGAAGGCAATTTGATTTAATTATATATAGCATGAAGACTAATGGATATTGAACATGCATGGTAGCTAATGCAGCTTATTTAATACAAATATATTGGTTGAACATGTTTTCAAGGTTAAAGGATCAATGAAGTGTTATAATCACATTAAACATAGCCGCAAAGCTGAGAAGACTCGACTCTCGACGTGGAAATAAGCTTGCCTTAATATATACAAGCAAATGAAAACAAAAAAATAAAAATAAAAATCACTGCATTCCAAGTTAATTGATAATGAAGAATTACTAAAAACAAATACAAATGGCATCATAAGACTACAAGATGAACACCAACAGGAGTATTTTTTTTTTGAAGTGATTTTCTAACAACATCCTGTCGTGATTCATGCCAGGACTCATCTTGAGTAAAAAGACTCATCTTGAGTAAAAAGACTCCATTCACCACCTCCGAGATAAACATTAGACAAGGAACTACTAACAACTTGATCAAGGGATATTGCACTTTTCAGTATATGCGATATCAACTCTATTTGGAACCAGTTACCATTAAATCCATTCATCCAAACCTTCTTGAGTCTGCTATATGTGCATCCATAGATATTCCATATCTCTCTTAGATTTTTTTAGAACTCTTCACCGCCTAACTATAGACAACACAAACAACTCACAATAAGATTCACAATATCAGACAAAATTATACTCCGACAACTTTGGCAAAACAAACTGTCGAATGTAACCTAATAACAAACAATTCAGATAAAGTTTCTCCAGAATGTTTTAGACTAGACAGAGTATATAGCAACTGACCGTGATATCAAGTTTCTCCAGAAGTGGACAAGCATTTAGACAAGTCAACACACACAACAGTTCCTTTTCCTTAATTGCTCTGATAAAAAATAGCTCTAGTTGCTTTAGATTTCTGAAAGAGTCCATGCTCTGTGGTAGTCTTTTTTCCTGAATGAAAACATTAGAAAACAAATTCTCATTGTTATCATAGGAGGTTAGTTACACTTCGTGAATTCTAATTCTTTACATACCTTCCAAAGGTCCATATGTAGGATTAGAGTCTGTAAAGTTGGAAATGTTGCACAGTGGGATAATGCATTTGGCATGTCTACCACATGAATTGAATTGAAATTGAAGTAGATCTTTACCAGACAAGGAGCAACAAATAAAGTGATCTTCATGGTGTCTCCACTATACTAAAAATCCATTAGGCTTATGGCTATTACCTTAACTGCTGATAGGCTGGAACAATCATGCAATACTAGATTTTGGAGTGAAGTACTGAAAACTTTTAAAAGGGACATACATTTACAGCGTATCAACATTAGACGTTGAAGAAGCAAACAATTAGAGTAGAGGGATGCAAGAAATTCTTCTCCTAAAAATACATCGTGTAATTGTAAGGTTATTAGCTTGTTGAATCCGATAAAATCAGCAGGAGGTTTTAAAACACAAGTTCATAGATGCACGTGCTTTAATCCTGAATCACTAGGATGGGGAAGAAGCCAATAGGAAAATCTATAATTGTCACAACCCGAATCCCGGATCCATGACCGGCACATAGGCAAGGTTCCTCTCCAAAGTTCCATTCCTATGCGAACCCAAACTTACATACAAATTTATTCTAACTCAATCAAAGTTCAACACAACATTAATAACAAAATCAATTTCATAATATAATTGAATTGTCTTAATACAAGATTTTTTTGGAGCACTGACTAGACATAAAGAAAGGTACAAATTACAATCAAAAGAGCAAGTTCTGAAAGTCTAACAAAAGTGACCTGCTATCAAGTTATAAGCCTGAAAATGATAAATAATGAGAGTGTGAATTCAACAACTAAGTGAGTAGATAACGTTCAATATACACATATGAGATAATACAATAATGAGAAATATATATACAAGTATGGATTTAGGGTCTTATAAAAAGGTTTCTCAAATAGGCCATAACAAGAATATCATATGGTAAAATCCTTAGAAAATCAAAATGCAATGAGCATGAGGCTCTGTACTGTGGGATGATCAATCCACACAGGTTGGTGACTCCCCCGACCAACTAGGGTTTAGATACGATGTGCACAAAGACTAACACTACCCTGTTAGCATGGGTATTCTGACTGACATACTATAGGGTTATAATCATAATCAAACAGACATATTAATATCTCAAGGCTCAACTCATGACATCAATCAAATGAAGAGCTATCAATTCAGAAGTCAATCCAAAATACATACTGGTTCATATCAAAAATTCGGATTTAATAAATGATCTTACTTATCATAACAAGGATAATAATCACCATATATATTATCAAGAAGTATGATCCAATTCATATTAACAAATCAAATATTTATAATATTTCTCATGCATATAGAAAATTATCCACTCACCTGACTCGAAAGCAAACAGAAATCAAAAGCAGACACCGAAGAAAATCCTACTGACGTCCTGCTAGTAGAATACCAGGATTATCTGAATACAAATGAGACATATTCAAGAATGACTCAAAAGAATATATAACCTATTTAATACACTTATTTAAGGATGTATTCCATAACACTATATATTTTTGAACTAACTAGTTATATTCCAAAAACCCAAAAAAATTAACAGTTTTCTCAAAATCTAATCCATAATAAAACAAATAATAAAATTGATAATAATTCACTAACTAACCCTCAATTATTCATCAAAACCATTTTCAAAAGCTAATATTATAGCTAGGGACTAATCTGTAATTTCTTATATTTTTAAGGGTCAAATTGTAACTTTATCCATTTGGAGGACCAAACTAAAACTATCATAAATCCATGACTATACTGAAATTCTGACCATAATCAATCCTCATTTCTGTCCAGATCATCTCATTATACTCCAGGGACCATTCTGGAATTTTATCAATTTTTTAGGGTTAAACGGTAATTTTTGTCAAATTGAAGGACCAAATTGAAAGTGTTAAAATTTCATAACTATACAGGAATTCTGCCCATAATTTATTTTTTATTCTGTTCAGAATCTCGGAACATGCCCCAGGGACCAATCTGTAAATTTTTCAAAGTTTAGGGACTAAACTGTAATTTCCACAAATTGAAGGACCAAAATGTATTTTCGTCATCTTCAACCTCCAACCCAGAATTTCAACAGAAACCCACTGTTCTTTCCTTATTTCTAACATAATTTCACCATTCAAACAAAATCATAACTCAAAATCATCATCTTTCAATTCAATCTCTCAAAATCCACCAAATAATCCATTACCCATAACAATCAACCTTTAACATTCAATTAATTCATCAATCAAACCCAAAACACAAATTTTCAAAACCCTAACATTTATCAAAACCAAAATTAAAACTTAATCAACACATATTTATATATAATCTTACCTTTAAACTTATTTCCTTTAACTCTTTTCTATTTTTCTTCTAATTTCCCTCTTTTCTCTTCTTTTTCTTTCTCCCTTCTCTCTCTTGCCGATTCTCTCTCAAATTTCAGATCACTTCTTTTGTTTTTTTTACTTTCTATTTATATTTATCAAGTTTTTGTTGAATTACTACACTACCCCTCATTCATTTATACCCACACTTTAAGCCACCAAGGGCTTTATTGTATTTTCGTACTCATTTATTCAAAACATTACAATCTCCCCACCTTATAAAAGTTTCATCCTCGAAACTTAATAAGAAAGATTGAATACTTACCGAGATTATCGAAAAGATGAGGATACTCCTCACGCATTTTATCCTCAAGCTCCCATGTCGCTTCCTCACGTGAATGACCCTTCCATTGCACTTTCACTGAAGCTATATCCTTTGAGCTAAGCTTCCTCACTTGTTGGTCGACTATAGCTTTTGGTTGCACCTCATAAACTATATCATCCCTCAATTCAACAGGATGAACTTCTAACACATGCGATGGATCTGTCATATACTTCCTTAACATGGAAACATGAAATACTGGATGGATAGAAGATAAGTTTGATGGTAATGCTAACCTATAAGAAACTGTCCCAACTCTCTCTAGAATCTCATACAGTCCAATGAATCGAGGACTCAACTTACCTCTCTTCCCAAACCTGAATACTCCCTTTGTCGGTGATACTTTTAAAAACACACAATCACCCATTGAAAACTCTAAGTCACGCCTTCTTCTATCTGCGTAACTCTTTTGTCTGCTCTAAGCTGTTTAAAGCTTATTTCTAATTACCTCTATTTTCTCTGAGGTAATCTGAATCAACTCTAGTCCCATTAGCCTCTTCTCACCAATCTCAAACCAACAAACCGGTGATCTACACTTCCGGTCATACAAAGCCTCATAAGGTGCCATCTTTATGCTAGCCTGATAACTGTTGTTGTAAGCAAATTCCACTAATGGTAGGAACTTACTCCAACCAACTCCAAAATCCATAACACAAGCCCTTAGCATATCCTCCAAGATCTGAATAGTCCTTTCAGACTGACCATCTATCTGTGGATGAAAAGCTGTATAAGCTACAGTTAATTCACCTTACCAAAAGTAAAACAAAACAAAAAAAAATCTCAACCAATCAATGAGTAGAGTTTAATGTCTCGGACTACCCTGTGAGCACTCATTGATGGAAACTAATGAAACCCGGTCAGCCATTAGTAATGAATTGCAAGATTAAGCTAGTAGCAGAGTCGACCTACGTGCCCTACTTCTCCAGTCCCATTAATGTTCAAAGAAACCAACAAGACACAATTGATAGTTTCGACAATCATCTTTTAGCAATTTCAACAAACCTTTTAGATGTTTTCCCACGAATCCTACTTTTGAATCCATTGTACACTGCTCAGGCTGTCCCGATATCAGGAAACTTACAAAATCCAGGTTCTATTTTAATGCAAGACCACTCGATCTTAAAAGCCTTGATTGCAAACCAAGACACAAACATGAAGCAGCAAAGTTTCAAGATTGAAAGGACTATGGTCCATGTCTCACAAGACAGGACTACAGATATGAATACTGAAATCTATTCAGTCATATCAAATCTTAAAGTGAAAAAAATATCAGGTGATGATCAAAATGGCAACACCTTCTACATTGGTTGCATCAATGGACCTTCATTGTTTTTGAAACTATTAAAAATCAGTTGATGCAAGTTCGAGTATTCCAAGTGACAACACTACAGTCCAAAGCAAGCAGCAGACCATAACAACTGACAGGTATCAAGTTAATTCAAGTGAAGGGATACATTCTATAAAGGCTACAATGCAGGTGATGCACGTTGGCAAAAGGGGAAGTTACAATCAATAACTGAAGATCATCTCAAACTTCCAAGTGGCAGAAGAAGTTACTATAACTGTTATTGTTTTTATCTTAAGTAGTTATTTAAGTATTAACTGTAATATGTATTTCTATTTAATGTAGAATGTTTGTCTGGATAGAGGGGGGGTAATACAATTCTTGTCTTTGGTGTGATTCCAAAATGAGAGTGATTCTTTTGAGTGGTGTGAGACTACTTGTTCTATCTTTATTGTAATCTTTATTTCTTGCAATAAAATGTCAACTTTCTTTCTCTTTGTCTATTCTTTCTTCGGTTATCTTTTGCTGGAAACAGAATTAGTGAATATTGGTTCTGTCTTGATATCGTTTGGCCTTAATTGGTATTAGAGCAGGTTTCCATTTTTGTTCTCCCATGCCTGGAACCCATAGTGGCAATTCATATAATCCCAATCAGGGATTACGGGAACCTGGACATTCCCAATCTCATCCCTCTCAACAAACACTTCCACACACTGATCCTTTACAATAAACAACCCCACAGAACCCATTAAACTCTCCTCAATCAATACCTTTTCCACCAAATATTCCCCAGCCATCACCACAGAACCCCCCCAATCCAACACCTTTACAAAATGAGCTTGTTTCCCTGTTACACCAATTGCAACATCAAATAGAGTTAGTTACCAGTACCTTGGGAACTATTGTTGGACGTCTGGAGCATATTGAAGAGAGAAGTAATAATGTTGATCACAGAAGGGGCAGAGTTGATCAAGGAGGTAATGTAGGTGACAACATAGCAATAGATGTGGAAGAAGTAGGAGAACATGTAGGTGATTATAGAAACAAAGATGGTAGGGTCTTTGATGAACTTTCGAGAGGAATAAGAGTAGATGTGCTTGATTTCACCGGGAGGCAAGATCCTGATGTTTTTCAAGATTGGTTGGTGTCTTTAGAAGAATATTTTGAATGGTTTTTAGTACCTGAAAATCAGAAGGTCAGATTTGTTAAATTAAAATTAAAAGGGGCTGCTCGTGCATGGTGGGAAACACCAACCTTTAATTTAGGATTGGATAGAGATGAAGGCTCGTCTGGAGACTAAATATCTTCCTGCTAATTATGAACAATTGGTATATAAAGATATGCTCTGCTGGATGCAGGGTATGCATATGACAATAGACCAATATACTGAAAAATTCTGTGATTTATCAGTAAGAAGTCAAGTCATGGAAACCAATCAGCAAACCCTTGCCAGGTATTTAAAGGGACTGCATGTTGATATTAGAAGAGATATGTTTATTTAAGGATAATAGATGCAGGACTAGAGACTAGAAAGGAATGCTTACCAACGACTCTTCAACATCTTCTACAACAATTTAAAGATGTTTTTCCCGAAGAGCTTCCCTCACAATTACCTCCTTTACGTGATGTTCAACATGCCATTGATTTGGTACCAGGTTCCTCCTTGCCAAACTTGCCACATTACCGTATGAGCCCAGCAGAGCATAAGGAGTTACAGCGTCAAGTGTAGGAATTGGAGCATAAGGGTTTTATTAGAGAAAGCCTTAGTCCTTGTGTTGTACCAGCCCTTCTCATTCCAAAAAAAGATGGCAGCTAGAGGATGTGTATTGATAGCAGAGCAGTAAACAAGATAACTGTTAAGTATTGTTTTCTAATTCCAAGATTGGATGATCTGCTGGATCAATTAGGACAAGCCAACATCTTCTCTAAATTGGATTTGTGAAGTGGGTACCATCAGATTCGTCTCAGGCCTGGAGATGAATGGAAGACAACTTTCAAGATAAAAAAAGGGTTGTACGAATGGTTAGTGATGCCTTTTGGCCTCACCAACGCACCAAGCATGTTCATGAGGGTGATGACTTAGATGTTGAAGCCATATTTAGGCAGGTGTGTTGTTGTCTATTTTGATGACATATTTGTCATCAACCAGCACAGGGATGAGCATCTTCAACACCTAAAACAAATCCTGTAAGTGTTACGACAAGAAAAGTTCTATGCAAATTTCAACAAATGTTCTTTTCTTCAACCAAAGACACTTCCTGGGTTTTATTATATCACAACAAGGTGTAGAAGTTGATCCAGAGAAGGTGAGAGCAATCTTGGAGTGGCTAGAACCGCAATCATTCTTTGAAGTTCGAAGCTTCCATAGTTTAACCACTTTTTATCGATGATTCATTCAAGTGTTCAACACCATTGTCGCTACACGATGTCGGGCGACGGCTCTACTCCTTTTTTTGTTGTTTGTTTTTTTTTAAAACAAAAAAAAAAAGAATGATTTTGTTTTTATTTGATTGGGGGAAATAAAGATTTTATTGGAGTCGCCATCTAGTAATTTGAGGGAACTAGAAATCCAAAATTAGACCTGGTCCCAGAGATTCGGGTACTGGGTTAGTTATGATTAAGGGAAGGTAGACACCACCCTTAAAACATCCTTTTAGAGAAAGGTTACTTTTACTTGTGTGTTTTTCTTATTTTGATTCAAATGCTATTATATTTTTGAGCTTATTTGTAAATTTTTAACATGGTTAACGTCGGTTTCTAAAAATAGGAAACACGTTAAAAATGACATCAGTTCCTAAAATTAGGAGACTTTGTCTAAAATATCGACGTTTATCCCTAAAAAGGAGAGTTACGTCTGATTTACCAAGATAAATAATAATGGACATAATCCATATTTGGTATTTAAATTTTTGACATCGGTCCTTTTCTATAAATAAAAGAGACGTGTCGACAAATAATATTTATTTTATAAAATAAAAATTATTTTGATATCATTGATAAAGAGATATATTAATTCTTAAAAAATGGGTTTTTGACCCATGAACAGTGATATGATAAAATGGGTGTTAAACCCGCGCCGTTATTTATTTTGGTTTATTTCTTTGTTTTTTTTATTCACATGCAAAAATTTACAATTATTTATATATAAAAATATCAAAAAATATCATAAAATATCATAGAAAATTACCTGGGTACCCCTGTATAGGCAAAATACTGAAATACCCTCGGATTTAGCGAAAATTTACGAAAATGCCACTGGCGGCGAGTGTGGCTCACGCGCGGTTACATTGACGGAGGCGAAATTTTCCGGTGAGATGCCGGCCAAAAGATGGTTGATTCTGGTAGATCTGAGGATGAGGATTCTGATGGTGGTGGTCTCGTTGGCCGTTGATGCCTGAGGAGGGAGAATCGACGAGTTGAAGGTCGGTTGGCCGATGACGGTCGCGGCCTTTTTCCGACCCAAATCGCCGGTGAAAACGTGTAAACGGCTGGGGTTTTGCTTCAGAGGACGCGATTCACGTTTCTGTGGTGGTTTCGCGGCTTGAAACGGCCGGAAATGGTAGATCGGCGGAGAGAGAGAGAATCGCCGGCGAGAGGAGAGAGAAGCTTTGGGTTTTGCTATGGTGTGGACGAGTGTATGGTGCGCTCGTGCGTCTGAAGGCTGTGAACTGTTGGATCTCGGATGAATAGATCCTGCGGCTGTGATTCGTTTGACCTTCAAGTTCATCGCACGGTCAGGATTGAATGGGCTACGATCTGGTGTGGCGCGGTGTACCGAGTGCTCGGTATACCTGAGAGAATCGCCGGCGAGAGGAGAGAGAAGCTCTGGGTTTTGCTACGGTGTGGACGAGTGTATGGTGCGCTCGTGCGTCTGAAGGCTGTGAACCGTTGGATTTGGGATAAACAGATCGTGCGGCTGTGATTCGTTTGACCTTCAAGTTGATATGGCGGTCAGGATTGAATGGTCTACGATCTGGTGTGGCGTGGTATACCGAGTGCTCGGTATACCTGCTGACGTGGCGCAACCAGATCGAAGGGTAGATTATTTGAACGGCGGAGATTGATTTGGGGTTTAATCTGGTGTTGTAAAGCCTATTGTATCCTAAGAAATCAAAGGCTCAGATCTAAATACTATTAGATCTAACGGTTGAGATATTTTTGGTATTTTTTAATTTATTAAAAAAAAATTTAACATCTTACTAGGGTGCAGAAAAAGTATTAAAAAATGAATAGTATACAGGAACCCAAATAGTAATACGTGAATTTGAGAATTGAGAATTTGATTCAAAATGAATTTTTTAATCGCTCCTCACCTCCTGTCTTGAATTCATTGGCAGACAATAATTCACGGATGAATTGTTAACAATTCACGGATTGTTAAAATTTTCAAACTTCCACCGATTACTATTTGTTTTATTATATATAATAATACTAAATAATAATAATAATATTTATTTATTGGGGTAAAAATTAAAAATTCAAATCAGTATTATAAAAAGTTTTTTCACCCGCTAAAAATCAATTTTAAATTAAAAAAAAACTTTTTTATACAGGTATCAACTCGGTGGACCGGGTTTTTTGACCAAAAATACCAGTTTTGACCAAAATAGTCCAAAACTGATTTTTTATCGCGGTCGACATGGTGGGACCCGTATTGACCAGGTGGACTCTGTTTTGATCGAAAATGACGGTTTTGACCCGAAACAGCCCCAAACTCATTTTTCATCTCGGTCGACATGGTGGGACCCGTATTGACCCGGTGGACTCGGTTTTGACCGAAAATGACGGTTTTGACCCGAAACAGCCCGAAACTCATTTTTTATCCCGGTCGACATGGTGGGACCCGTATTGACCCGGTGGACTCGGTTTTGACCGAAAATGACGGTTTTGACCCGAAACAGCCCGAAACTCATTTTTTATCCCGGTCGACATGGTGGGACCCGTATTGACCCGGTGGACTCGGTTTTGACCGAAAATGACGGTTTTGACCCGAAACAGCCCGAAACTCATTTTTTATCCCGGTCGACATGGTGGGACCCGTATTGACCCGGTGGACTCAGTTTTGACCCGAAATAGATTTTTCATCCCGGTCGACATGGTGGGACCCGTATTGACCCGGTGGACTCGGTTTTGACAGAAAATGACGGTTTTGACCCGAAACGTCCTGAAACTCATTTTGTTTATCCCGGTCGACATCGTTTAACCCGTATTGACCTGGTGGACTCGGTTTTGACAGAAAATGACGGTTGACTCGAGAAAATATATTTTAAACTCTTTTTTTTCTTTTCTTTTTCTTATTTTTTTATTTTTTTGTCATGAATAATAAGATAAAATAATATTTAAAAAAAAAATTAGTGAATCCAAAATTGGGTTACAATAACCATTATGGCCCCAATTACAGAATGTCTAAAGGCCAAGGTTTTAAATGGACTCCAGCAGCAAATGCAGTATTCCAACTTATTAAACAGAAGATGACAGAGGCACCCATTTTGAAACTTCCAGATTTCTCCCTAATTTTTTAAATTTCTTGTGACGAGGGTATAGGAGGTGTATTAAGCCAGGCTGGACACCCCATTGCTATCACGACCCGAATCCTGGATCCATGACCGGCACATAGGCAAGGTTCCATACCTATGCGAACCCAAACTTACACACAAATTTATCCTAACTCAATCAAAGTTCAACGCAACATTAATAACAAAATCAACTTCATAATACAATTGAATTGTCTTAATACAAGTGACTTGCTATCAAGCTATAAGAACAGGTTTTGAAGGTCCAACAAAAGTGACTTGCTATCAAGCTATAAGCCTGAAAATGATAAATAATAAGAGTGTGAGTTCAACAACTTAGTGAGTAGATAATATTCAATATACACACACGAGATAATGCAACAATGAGAAATATATATATACAAGTATGGATTTAGGTTCTTATAAGAAGGTTTCTCAAATAGGACATAACAAGAATATCATATGATAAAATCATAAGAAAATTAACAACTGACAGGGATATGTAAGTTCGAGT